AAAGGTGCGCGCGTGCTGTCGCTTTTACGTAAATTAATCGAACCCGAACTCGCCCGCGCTGAGCGTCGAGTAATGCAAATTTTTGCGCGGCTCGCTCGACTGTGCCATCTCGATCTCTTTTTCCCTATTTCTCTCTTACTCTCTTCCTCTCTCTCGTTCTCTCTTACACTCTGTCGCTCTCTCTCACTCTCTGTGTCTCTTTTGCTCTTTCTTTATTTCGCTCTCTCTTCCTCTCTCGGTCTCTCTTTCTCTCTTGCTCTCTTTTTTCTCTCTCGGTCTCCCTTTCTCTCTCGCTCTCTTTTTGCTCTCTCGGTCTCTCTTTCTCTCTCGCTCTCTCGCTCTCTCTCTCTCGCGCTCTCTGTCCTTTTCTCTATTACGCTCTCCCTTTCTCTCTCGCTCTCTTTTTTCTCTCTCGCTCCATTTTTCTCTCTTTCTCTCTCGCTCTCTTTCTCTCTCGCTCTCTTTCTCTCTCTTGCTCTCTCTCTCTCAGTGTCTCTTTCACTCTCTTTCTTCCTCTTGTTCTCTTTTTCTCTCACTCCCTTTCTCTCTTTTTCTCTCCCTCTCTCTTGCTCTCTCTCTCTCGCTCTCTCTGTCTCTCTCGCTCTCTCTCGCTCTCTCTGTTTCTCTCGCTCTCTCTCGTTCTCACTTTTTCTCTCTCTCTCTCGCTCTCTCTGTCCCTTTCTCTATTACGCTCTCTCTTTCTCTCTCGCTCTCTTTTTTCTCTCTCGCTCCACTTTTCTCTCTTTCTCTCTCGCTCTCCTTCTCTCTTTCTCTCTCTCTCTCTCTCGCTCTCCTTTTCCCTCTTTCTCTCTCTCTCGCCCTTTTTCTCTTTATTTCTCACTCTCTCGCACTTTTTTCTCTTTTTTTCTCACTCTCTCTCGCTCCCACTTTCTCTCTCTCTCTCCCTCTCTCAGTGTCTCTCTCACTCTCTTTCTTCCTCTTGTTCTCTTTTTCTCTCACTCCCTTCCTCTCTTTTTCTCTCTCTCTTCCTCTCTCTTGCTCTCTCTCGCTCTCTCTGTCCCTTTCTCTATTACGCTCTCTCTTCCTTTCTCGCTCTCTTTTTTCTCTCTCGCTCCATTTTTCTCTCTTTCTCTCTTTTTCTCTCTCTCTCTTCCTTTCTCTTGCTCTTTCTTGCTCTCTCCCGCTCTCTCTTTCTCTTTCTCTTTCGCTCTCCTTTTCTCTCTTATTTTCTTACTTCCTTCCTCGCTCCCTCCTTCTCTCTCTCTCTCTTTCTCTCTCTTTTTTCTCTCCCTCTCCCTGTCTTTCTTTCTCTCGTTCTCTTTCTCTCTCACTCTCTTTTTCTATCTTTCTCTTTTTGTCTCTTTGTCTCACTCTCTTTCTGTCTCTCTCTCCCTCTGGCTCTAATTTTCTCTCTCTCTCTCTCCCTCCCCTTTCCTCCATCCTTCTCCGTTGCTCCCGGTGTTCTCTCGTTAATAGATTTCCCTGATGAGATCGTAACGAACGCGCTCGATAACTCGATTCCTATATTTCACGGTTTTACCCGGCCGCGCGTATCTCTCCTCGCGCGTAATTTCGTTGCCGGTGATAAATAGACTCGGTCGAAGGCTTCATCGAACGTCGAACGCCGGTAACAGGATATCGGCTGCGCTTCTTCCACCCTTGGCCGTTCTGGAAGAAGGACGACGACACCCATCGGGAAAACGGGCCGCGAGCGGAGGTACCGACAAAGTCTTCCGGCGAGAAGAAGAAGAAGTATGTAACCCGGGCCACGTCGTAAATAGCATCGTTTTCAAGTTCACTTCGTTCACCGGGTTCCCGGGACTACCTGCGATCAGGCTCTTCGCGACTGTCCTTCATTTTCCCTTCGAATCCTTTTTCTCTTAAACGGCAAACGCTTGCGTACCAGCGTTCGCTGCAGACACTGTACCGTGTCGAATCACTCTTCTCGAGTAGTCTTCTTCACTCTTCAAAAAAATATCTAATCCTTGGTGATCGTCTGTCCCTTGTTTCATCGACTTCGTTTCTCCCTCAGTGAAGAATTTGTTCGTCCTCCTCTCGAACGCGAAAATCGATGCAGAAGATCGACCAAACAATATTATTATAAAATATTGTATCGCACAACCATATCAACGGAAGAGAGAAAAAAAACTGTATCCTGACTAATGAAACATGCGGCATAAAAGCATAATTAAATAAATAAATAATTACATACAGCGGTACAAAGCATAAAACCCTAACTTTGTTTGCTTATTATGCGTTGAGATAATTTTTAAGATATTTTTATTCGGAAATATTTGTTAATTTGTTTCAGTTTCTTGATATTCAAAGGATTATTTCTTGTCGTAAAGTGCTAGAATGTGATATTAACCTGAGGTGCAAAGAAAGATTCATGTAATTTAAGATCATTGTGTAATTATAATTATATGTACTTACGATCAATGAGAAAACAGTGCATGTAAAGTTAATGCCAAGATTACTTTATTTTGTTACACTTTTGTCTGACTGATGAAGGGGACAAAATGCACCTTTTAAACAAATTGAAAGTAAAATAAATATTTAATAAAAATAATTAATAATTTTTTAAAATAAAAACGTTCCGTGCCACGTGTATCACAGATGACAAGTGTTTACATTAATTAATGCACTAAAAAAAATAGTTTATAACAAATTTAGAAGTGAAAAATTAATTTCAACCCCAAGAATAGGTCGCAATAAGTTCGTTTCATTGTTATATATATGATAATATAATGTAATATAACATAATACAATATAATATGTATAACATAATATAATGTAATATAATATAACATAATATAATATAATATAATATAATGTAATATCTGTCTCTTATACACATCTAGATGTGTATAAGAGACAGATATTATATGTTATATTATGTTATATTATATCTGTCTCTTATACACATCTAGATGTGTATAAGAGACAGATATTATATGTTATATTATGTTATATTATATCTGTCTCTTATACACATCTAGATGTGTATAAGAGACAGATATTATATGTTATATTATGTTATATTATATCTGTCTCTTATACACATCTAGATGTGTATAAGAGACAGATATTATATGTTATATTATGTTATATTATATCTGTCTCTTATACACATCTAGATGTGTATAAGAGACAGATATTATATGTTATATTATGTTATATTATATCTGTCTCTTATACACATCTAGATGTGTATAAGAGACAGATATTATATGTTATATTATGTTATATTATATCTGTCTCTTATACACATCTAGATGTGTATAAGAGACAGATATAATATAACATAATATAATATAATATAATATAACATAATATAACATATAATATAATATAATACAATATAATATAACATAATATAACATAATAGAATATAATACAATATAATATAATATAGTATAGTATAATATAATATAACATATCATAATATAATATCTAATCTAATATATCAAATATTATAATATTTATATTAATATTTTGTTTATTAATATATTATATTATATTATTTTATTATAATATATTATTATATTATATTATTTTTATTAATATATTAATATTTATATTATAATATATCAAATGCCCAGTGTAAAGGTCCGAGTAAAACGCAATGCGTTCTCCCAGCAAAAAAAAAACTGATCTTCCGAATGTTCCGAACAGTAGTTAGTATAGTCCGTTTATCTTCTATCCTCTCCTAAAAAAAGGTGTATCAACCTCGTGGTAGTTCAGCCTGCAGAAAAATGGCCGAAGGAACAAGGGACCGTCGAAAGCCCCTTCGGCGGAAGCCGGGAGAGAATTATGAACGAGAGACAACAAGATGCCGTTCGACTGCCGTAGTAATTGCCTTCTAAAGAACCGTGGCCCGTACAGAAAACTCACCGCTCGAAGTTTGAACAGATGGCCGTGGAAGAGCGAACGGTAATATCGGCGAGCGTGTCGCGCGCTCGCGCGCGCACGCTTCGCCCTTGCTCGCGAAGTAAGAAAAATGGCCGAGGATGAGGAAACACGGCGCGGGGACGCAGAGAAGATGAAGAAAAGACGAAGAGAGCGTTCTCCCGTTGCGATCGTGTTTACTCTGTGCGCGGTGTATCGAAGGTCTGTTCGCGGCCGGAATGCTGATCGGACGGGCCGGGCCGGGCCGGGCCCCCGCGCGTACCTGGTCCGCGCGCGCGTTCGGGCACGCACGTCTGATTTATGCGTTGTCGCGGCAAATTTATGGGTTCGCGGCGGAACGAAGTTATGAGAAGGGCATCGTCTCCGGCCGCCTCTCTCCGCGCCTCGCCCAGGGGGCCCCCCGAAGAAAAAGTCGGGAAGTCATCGGACCGGGACGCGCGGGGAGGGCTCAGAGGCCCGTTTAGTATGCGCCGCCATGCTCCCGGCATTTCCATTAACCCCGCGGCTGGATGTATCGCGGAACACGTAGAGAGAAAAAAAAAGAGAGAAACACTCGTAAACGCTCCACCCCCGCCGCGTCCGTTTTCTTCGCCTCGCAAACTTTCCTGGCCGCGCGCGCGTTATCGCGTTACGCGGCCGTTCGAGCAACGCCTCCGCGCGATCCTTCTTCCTCGGCACGTCCCCCCGCTTCTTCCTTGTCCGCGATGCTCCGGTTCCCTCTGCCCGATCAGCCTTCGGGAACTCGAACGACGGGGAAAGGCGCGCGACGAGGAGTGTCTTCCGTTTCCACCGGAAGACGAGGCCGGATCTTCGCTTGCTTCGTTGTTTGTACAATTCGCGTGCCGCCGGTTTTTTAATAACCCTTTCGCCGGGCGCAAAATTACATCTTGCAAGAGTAGAATGTGTTTTGTAAATAAATATCGGGGATTTGTGTTTTATCATGCAAGATTAGGATCTTCGATTGCTTCGTTATTTCTACACTTCGCGTTACCGCCGGTTTTTTAACCCTTAGCGCTCCGAAGGCTCCGCTATGGAGACATTTGTCATTTGTTCCGTAACTCCGAAGGCTCACGATCATAACAGATATGTGTTGGAAGATAAGAAAACGTAATTGTTGCGACGTTTACTTCGCCAACGGCCATATCGCGTTGCAGAAAACCGATTCTCGTCCGATCATCGAAGTTAAACAGCGCTGAGCGTGGTCAGTACTTGGATGGGTGACCGCCTGGGAACACCACGTGCTGTTGGCTCCATCTTTTTTTTATTTCATTATCAACATTAACAAGACCGATTATTCTTATTATTATCGCGTAAACGACAACACAATTTTTTTACATTTCATGCAACTATCATTGCTGCATCAATTATTCGATCGGCAAATCCGTTGCCTGGGACAAATATTACAATAAAATACCATGAAAATCCGAATCAACATGTTATCTTACCGAAGCGATAAACCTTTGCGAAGCAATAAAAATTAATTTCTCATAGAGCTCTCTGAATCTAGCGTTAAGAAGCTTGCCAGCACCTTCGGCGCGGAACTCGACGAGTCAGGCGATTTTAACCCTTAGCGCTCCGAAGGCTCCGCTACGGAGACATTTGTCATTTATTCCGTAACTCCGAAGGCTCCGCTGCGGTGCCAAATGTTTTTTAGCATACGTTATCACCGGCGTTAGAAATTGTTATCTGTAGTTAAAACGTGCTAAGTCTGTACCATTACGATTAAACCATTTTTTGACCTTTTCTATGGTTAGCAACATGGAGAAAAATAAATATTACGATGAGAATTTAGAGCCGCGCGATACCGAAGACGTATTTGATTTTGAAGAGTTAAAAGACATTGTGGAAGACAATGTTGGTTATGATTCCGACACTTCGAGTAGTAGTAGCGAAATTATACTACCAAAGAGACGAAGAATGAGAATTATTGAAAGCGAAGACGAAGATTCGTTGCAAGACTTAGACGAATGGCGTGATGTTACGGAGGAATTACATATTCCAGATAGAATACCTTTTAGTGTATTGCCACAGATCATTGGACCACAAGTTNTAGAATACCTTTTAGTGTATTGCCACAGATCATTGGACCACAAGTTCCTACAAACATTGAACACCCAATACAATATTTTAAATTATTTCTCACGGACGAATTGGTAAATGAAATTATAAAGGAAACCAACGATTACGCAGAAAATGTTCTAAACTTGA